TGGAAACTGAGTCAAGATGAAAGGCATGCAAAAGAGCAATTGCCATTTCCTTTACCAGGTATTTGGAGGGAAATAAAAGAAGAATGGCAGAGGATCAAGTTCAGGGATGAATAGGAAGGTAGATTAATTGGGTCATCAAAGAGACTCTTCCTGCTGGTGACCAGTTTGCATGGAGTTTGAACTGGTCAAAACAGAAATCATCTGGAGTCATGATTCGTTACTTGTGGCCCATTACCTTCGCCTCTGGTCCATGAGAAAGGTAGCTTTATTTAATTTCAAGTTTAGGTGAAAGGGAAAATGAACATAGTGATATTCCCCTGTGTTTGGCTGAGGCTGTCTGCAACAAGGGAATAGGAAAAGGCATTTTTCTCCTTTGAGATAATGTTTATAGGAAGGATATTGTAAAGCTATAAACAAGATAAGGCATTGGTATATATTGAAATAAGATAATACAGTGGGAAGGAACCCAAGATGTCACCTAACCCCTTTATCTTAAAGGCGCTGAGGCCTATAAGAGTCAAGTGTATTTATTACTTGAGCGCATATATCAAGTAGAGATGTACAGCATAGATTGCAGAGTTGAACATGCCTGGTTTGAGGCCCAGCTCTACCACTTACTAGTTTGTGACATACAGCTGCGGAAGACTTTACGGAGATGAAGAGCTGGGTCATACAGAGTGAGTATGCCAGATGGTGTAGGGGTTCAGAACAGGCCTTCCCAAAACATGCCACTTTGGCATTGGAATTATTTTGAGCAGACAGCAGACTTGTGAGATACTTTTACCTCTCCCTTAAAGAATTTAAATTAGGGGCCTTGCCCATAATAACAGCTGTCACCAGAAATAACGTTTTATGACCTATTTATAGTGCAGGGAAAATGTCTAATTTCTAAACATCTGCTCCTCTTATGATCCTGCAATGACCCTTTGAAGCCCCCAAGGCACCTTACCTCAATCTTAGCTCAGAATGTCATGTATGCCTCATTTTAACTTTCTGTCCCTGAATCTCTCATGTATGTGGGGTTTCCATTCACATGTATGTAATTAAATTTGGTCATTTTCTCTTGTTAATCTGTCTCATATCTATTTGATTAGTAGATCAAGCTGAAAGAACCTTGAAGGCAGAAGTAAGTTTCTTCTTTCCCCACAATGGGCAGGCATTCCAGACAGAGGAAATGAGGCTATGTCCAAAGAGAGAGGTATGAGAGGGAGGGAGCGCTTAATGGAGGAGCAGATGCATGTACATGTAGCTGAAGCATACAGTGCTTATGGGAGAGGGAAGTAAAGACAGAGGGGTGTTGGAGGAAGGAAGAGTTACCCTGCCTCTGGGAGAGGAACCTTCACTGCCAGATTTTTTTTCTTGCTATTTTACTATTACTTTGTATCAATAATATACCCAATGAGCTGGGACCGATGTGGCTCAATGGATTGAGTGTCACTCTGCAAACCAGAAGGAAGCAGCTTTGATTCCCAGTTAAGGCACATGCCTGGTTGTAGGCCAGGTCCCCAGTTGTGGGTATGTGAGAGGCAACCGATCAATGTTTCTCTCAAATATTGATGTTTCTCTCCCTTTCTTTTTCCCTCCCTTGCCCTCTCTCTAAAAACAAATAAATAAAATCTTTTAAAAATGTACACCCAAAGAAGGTTGAGTTGCTATGAACTCTAGGGAATATGTCTGTCAACAGGGTCTCCCATACTTTGCAGCCCAAGAAGGAAGACCAGACAGGACCTGGGGTTTTGCCTTCGCACCCCTTCTACTTCCCCTGTGAGCTGGGTTCTCTGCAGGCCAAGGCCCAGCAAGGCTGTCCTGGGCAAAAAGGCTCTGGGTATGGTTGGAAAACATTAATAATAACTACCATTTCTAAGTACCTGGCATTATTTTAACTGTTGGATGTAATGCTTCATTTAATCCACACAAAAAGCTTATGAAGTAAGCACCACCATTTTTTTCCCTCAACTTTTCGAAAATTTTTTTAGTTTTTAATAGAAATATAGCATGCATATAAAAAACTATATGTAAGTGTACAGTTTAATAAATTTTCACATGTATAACTAGCATCCAGAACAAGAGAAAGAAAATCACCAGCACCTAAAAGGCCCCTTGAGGCCCTATCAAGTCACTAGTCTTCCCCATCCCCCAAAGCAGGGGTTCCCTAATCTCGAGGCCTCAGACTTGTACTAGTCTCGGCTTGTTAGGAACCCGGCCGAATGGCAGGAGGTGAGCTTAAATGTAACACCCCTGAATTATCCTGAAACCATTCCCCCAACCCTGGTCCATGGAAAAATTGTCTTTCACGAAACCCGTTCCTGGTGCCTAAAAGGTTGGTGACTGCTGCCCCAAAGCAACTACTATCCTTACTTCTGAGAGCAGAACTCAGTTTGCTTGTCTTATACAGTATTATTTGTATACAGCTTCTTTCACTTACATTTCATTGCATGTAGTTATAGGTCTGTTCATTCTCTTATTGCTATATAATACCCTCAATCTCTTATTTTGAAATATTTTTAGTGCCAGGAAAGTTGAAAAACTAGTACAATGAATACCCAAATACCCTTTACTGAGACTGTGAAGGAATATTATTACCATATTTTGCCGTGTATAATGTGCACTGTTTTGCCCAAATTTTTGAGGGGAAAATAAAGATGTGCATTATATATTAGTAGTAATTCTGTATCTATATAAATGTTAATTCTTCTATTTATGTTTATGCATTAAAAGTGTAACTCTAGAGAGCAATATCGATATCTATACGCAAAATAACACCCTGGAATACAATGATTGGTTTTGTTTCTAAATATAAATAAACAAATAATTGAATAAAAAAATTAAAATGTAGATTTTTTTTCCCTGAAAGTTTGGGCCAAAACCATGAGTGCACATTATACATGGCAAAATATGGTATGTATTTCTATGTTATAGATCAAGGAACTAAGGTGAAGAGAATTAGACAACCAGCCTTGGTCATGCCCCTGGGATCTAGTCAGCCTAGCTGCTGCTAAGTCAGTCATAAAACTGTAGATAAATCCTGTAACTTCTCTGAGGCTGTTTCTTGATTGTTAAGATGGGAATGATAACCCCAATTCCATTGAGTTTCCATGCTGTTGTGAGGCTCAAATCTGAGGAACATGCAAAAATGCTTTGTGAAGAGTAAAAAGTGGTGGTTCTCAAAAGAAGTATTGTTAAAGAGGCAGGTTTCTGGGCCTTGCCCCTGTAGATCCTGATTCAGTACATCTGGGATAGAAAGCAGAATGTTTAACAAACATGCTAGGTGATTCTGATGAACTAGTTCCCCTCCCAAACTGTGAAAAAACATTTCTGTAAAAAATGGTTCTCTAGAGACTATCAAAATAACCTGGAGGACTTAAGTATTATTCTTGTCACTAGCTCCACCTTCTCACAGAGTCAGAAAGATGAAAGTTGCATGTGCAGAATTTGGTGCTTCGTCCTCTGTGAGATTAGAGAATCTGTCCCCAATATTTGTTCCTGAAGCTTTATAGATGTAATAGAAAAGTAAAAGGAAGTTGCTTATCCTCCAAGAGGACAAAGTGACTCACAGGGTTTTTTTAAAAAAAAGGAAAAGATGGAGCCATTAGTAGGTGAAAGGGCAAGAGTCCTCTATTGCAAAATAGGAGGTCAGATTAGTAGCATGTAAAAAAAAAAAACCATCATTACTCAAAATTCTGCACATTCCTGTCTCCCAGAGCAGAGGTAAATTAATGATAGGCACACCAAACATCTGCTTAGAGCACCAAGCCAGAAAGTCAAAAAAGAAAAAGTAATAATTTGATTGCTTAAATCAGTGAGGCTATCAACATGGTGGGTAGGACTTTTTTGGGCTTTCTAACATTTATCTTAGAGTTTAGTATTGTATTTTACCTTGAACTACATGGGGAGGGGGGTGAGAAATGCCATAATTGTTTTTCCTTGCTGAGGACCTGTAGGTGTATTAAATGGTGTATAAGGGACAGTTTTAATGGGTCAATTTGGAGGTTTAAATATGATAAACAGTATCCAGACGCATGCGACATTAGTTAAGTAACTGAGTGAATGCCTTTAAGGGCTTTCTACCTTGACACACAAACAGGTGCCCCCAGCTCTAGCGTCTGGGCTGCCTATACCAGCTCCGCGTTCTGGAGGCGGAGGACCCGGTGACCACCCCCAGCGCCTGGGAGACACCAGGGAGGCCGAGGCCCGTGGAACCGTCACCTGGAGATTCCCTGGCCAGTCATTCGGGGAGAAATCCACGGAACACCTACCCAGCTCTGGGCAGTTGCCCGGCCTGTTTGCTCAAAAAATCAGGTCGAAGTTGGGAATTTTACACGAGGAGAAAAACAACAACAACAACAAAACTGACTCATACGTTGATTTGTTTCTTTTAAAATAAACTAATGCATAGCCCACGACTTAGTCATCTTGCATAATAAGCATAGGCAGCTGTCAGCCCGGAGTGTCTTGCTGAGGAAAAAAGGGAGGATCGACCCAGAATGTTCAGGGTCTCTTTTGGACATTCTGATTCAACTTTAAAATAGAACTATGTATGAGAAATAGACTTCAAAGTCAAAAGAACAGTGAAACAAATCTCTATAGGTTCATCACTGGGTTCGAATTTTACAAAACTTTACAAGTTATTTGATAAAAATAAATCTAGAATTATTGTTTCCTTTTTTTTTTTTTTTAAGTTCTATGTTGAGGACTAATTGTAATCCTGTTCCTGTTAACTTGCACGATTCCACACTGCCGTTTCCAGAAACCCCAGAGGCCGCGTGGGCGCCCGCCTCACTTTTGCCATAGGCTTCCCGGGATCCCTAACTCAGGCAGAGCCCGCAACTCTGGCGGAACAGGTCTCACCCAATCAAGGAGTCGCAACGGAGGGACGCTGTCAAGGGCAACTTTCGGCCTAGTTCGCTGGGTGTTCCGGGTCCCGGGCCGCGGTCACGTGTTGTGAGGGGCGGGGCGGGCCAGAGTATATAGTCCCGTCCGCGGGCCGTGCTCTTCGAACGCCGTAGGTGTTGCAGGACCCGGGTTGTGGGGCTCTCGGGATCTTCGCCTCTGGGCTGCTGTCGGACGGTGAGTACGCGCCTTCTCTTTAACCAGCCATCTGGCTCGGCTCCTCCGCGGGGCTTGGGCTGGACGGCGTGGGGTGGTGGCCGGTGGGGTGTGCCCGCCTCCGGGCCCTGCTGGGAAGGCGTGGGCCTGGGCCTGGGCCTGCGCCGGCGCCTTCGCCTCCGACCCTTGCTTTTGGTAGTTTGTCTCCTTTTCTGCCAGCTGCTCTAGTACCGTTGTAGCTTTTTGGCGTGGTTGCAGGGTAACATTTTTCATTTGTCCCGAAAGAACATTACTTAAAAGGAAAAGCTAAGTTAGAACATCGTCTTAAAGCAAAATTGTGTGAGGTACGCAGTGACGTCAGGGCAATCGATGCTGGGGCCTGACTTCCCCCTCCAGCGCGGTTCTTACTCATTTCTTGTAGAAGTGGGACCCTTGGTGGCCAGAGAGTGAACTGATTGGCCCAGAAGTACTGGACTGCGGGCTGTGCGGGTTCTTGTAACTTCCAGCTCTCTTGCTGAGCAGCGAGGCGATTGTGTTGGTGTGGGTCTTTGGGACCACAATTTACATTTAGAGCCGCCCTGAAATGTTTCTCAGTTCCTGGGAGCACCTCCTTCCTCCCTTGCTTAATCACCGTCAAACTAGTTTCTTTGACAAGGAAGGAATAAACCCGTTCCCCCTTCCAGTGTGCTTCCACTCCGTAGTACTGACTGTCCAAAATGCCTTCTGATTGAAATCTCCCATTAGTTTTAACATGCGTTTTAACTTGGTTAGCATTTTTGCAAACAGATATTCCCCTTCAAAAGTCATTTCTAGTATTCTGGTGAAGAAATGAAAGTATCAGCAAGTTTGCTTTTCCCTGCTGTCTGTTTTCTCTTGAAGGGTTTACAAGGGAGCTCTGAAACTTTGCCTGAGGTGTTCCCCCAGGGGAGAGGTCTCAGCTGGAAGGTGTGAATAAGTGCAGAAGACTACACTTTAATCAATTTGAATTTTAATCTACTTGAAATTAGCATTTGCTTGAGTTGAGGAATGAATCTGGGAGAGTCTCGTCCTAGTGTCCTGAAATAAGTTTCTCTTCTGCAGATTTCTTCTTTCTCCACGAAGAAAAATGGTATCTGTTGCAGTTGATCCACAGCCGGTATGAATTTTAAATAGCTGTTTCATGATTCCTTTCTCTCCCCATGTTTTGAGAAGTTAATTCCCTCTCCTTCATGATTGCAGAGTGTGGTGACCAGGGTCGCCAGTCTACCCTTGGTAAGCTCCACGTGTGACCTCGTCTCCTCGGCGTATGTCACCACAAAGGATCAGCATCCTTACTTGAAGTCTGTGTGTGAAATTGCGGAGAAGGGTGTGAAGACCATCACATCGGTGGCTGTGATGAGCGCTCTGCCCATCATCCAGAAGCTAGAGCCACAAAGTGAGTTCTGATTCCCCCTCTCAAGATTTAATGCAAGGGACCTGTTGAAAGTAAGCCCAGAGCTGGTTTGAATGTGGTGAATGCCAGTCTAGTGCCCTAGAGCACACAGTGTCAGCATCAGGGAATTTTCAGCCTTTCTGGAGGCACATACTGCCTTTGTCTAGCAACTGCTGGGTGACCCTTGTTATTACAGAAGGCTTGCTTCCCAGCAATGGTAGATGTTCATGATAACTTTTTAAAAACCTTTAAATGCTTCTATGTTGGCAGCTGAGGTTGCCAGGAGAGGCAGTGCATAAACTGCAGTTGACTTTCTTGAGACCAGACAGTGTACATCAACTACTTTAAAAATAAATAAAAACATATTTATCAAGATGTAATTAACACACTGTACAATTCACACTCAATGTGTACAAGTCAATGTGTTGTGGTTTTTTTGTTCTGTTTTTTAGCCTGAATAAGCTGAGCAAGCATCACCACAATCAATTTTAGAACATTATTATCATCCCAAAAAGGATTATCATACCAGTTTCTGTTTGGATGATGAAAAAGTTATGGAAATGATATGGGTGATAGTTGTACAATATATAAGTACTTCTTTTTTACTGTGGAATAATATTCCATTGTGTGGTTAGATTATATTTTATTTATTCATCAATTGATTGACATTTGGGTGCTTTATGTTGATTGACATTTGGGTGCTTTATGGTGATAAGAATAATGAATGATACTGTGAACATTTGTGTACTTGTTTTTGTGTGGAACATGTTCTGAGTTCTCCTGAGTAATTACCAGGAATGAAATTGCTGGGTCATATAATAACTGTTTCAGCCTTTGAGGAATTGCTAAACTTTTCCAGAGTGGCTTATCATTTTACATTCCCACTAGCAGTGTATCAAGGTTTATGTCTGAGCCCTTTTGAATGAAGGTTTAAATCATTCACTTAAATGGGTAAGGCATGGAGTTTCTGGAGTAAAAGGAACTTTAGAGACCAGTTTTCTAGCTCTGCTACTTCCCAAATGAATTTTAAAGCTGGTGCTTGACTTGATAATCATTAGGGGGAAGCTTGGACTAAAATCTAGGCCTTGTCAGGGAGATCCAGGGTGCTGTTAGCATAACCATTTCCTGTTGCCACATATTGAATTAAGTTTAGGTGGGGGTTAAACTAACACGGAAATGATAATTTTGAGAGTTCTCAGAAACCTTATTCCTGAATTGAGGGTTCAGGGGAAGCTTGGCTTCTCTTCACATTAACCTTAGGAGCCAATGGATGAGGAAGAAGCTTCTTAGCCAGCTTCCTACCTGGCTTGTCATTCCTTCTGCCTGCTGCTCCTCCACCCCCTTATTTCCCTGTCAGAAGAAAGTTGCCAGCATCCTGCTGAGCCTCTTCCTGTCTGAGCGAGAGAAACCAGGCAATGCATAGTGTGACAAATGAAGGTCATTTTATCATTCTTGCTGTTTTTTATAGCTAAATATTTAAGGTATGATAATATGCATTCATCCTATACCTACAGTGCTAATATTTTCCCCATCTGTGATTATTCTAGTTGCTGTTGCCAATACTTATGCCTGTATGGGGCTGGACAGGATTGAGGAGAAACTGCCTATTCTGAATCAGCCAACAAATCAGGTGAGCTTGGGACAAGAAGACTGAGGCTTTCTACCTCACCTGTTTTCATGTTCTATATATTTAGTATAACTGGTTCTCATGTGGTGTTTGGTAAATGCAGAGATGGTATACAGAACCTTGTGTTGCTTGGTGTCTGAGAGCACATCCACTAAGATAAAGGAACAGACGTGTCTGCCTGTATGTAACATAAATTTTATATGTTTACCTCATTTGCTACTCCAACAACCCTTGAATGGTGGCAGGTAGAGCAAGTATACCTGATAAGGAAATTGAGGTTCATTAATTCTAAGTGACTTGCCTAAGACCTAAACCCAGAGTGAAAGGGCCCGACTCCTTTTATAACTCTTCAGCTATGCTGCCTAAGTTAAGACCTTCAATATGTATTTATGCCCTTGTTTCTCACTAGCCAAGTGATCTGTTTTTCTACTTGTAGGTTGTTGCCAATGCCAAAGGTGCTGTGACTGGGGCCAAGGATTCTGTGGCCAATACCATCACGGGGGTGATGGACAGGACCAAAGGAGCAGTGACTGGCAGTGTGGAGAAAACCAAGTCTGTGGTCAATGGCAGCATTAACACAGTCATGGGGAGTCGGATGATGCAGCTGGTGAGCAGTGGAGTAGAAAATGCGCTCACCACATCAGAACTGCTGGTAGACCAGTACCTCCCTCTCACTGAGGAAGAACTAGGTAAGTGGATTTTTGTCTTGAAATAGTTTTGCGTATCTTAAGTCAATCTTTTAAACCAGCTTCATGGAGATATACTTTATATACCAAAAAATTCACCTTTTTTGTCTAAATTTGCAGTTTCTCAGCATCACCTCAGTCCAGTTCTCCCTCAGACAACCACTAACCTTTCTGTCTTCATAGATTTTCTTTCTTTCTTAAGTTTCACATTGAATTGTGCATAGTGTTTTGAAATTTTAGGAAGAATTAGCCTAGAGAAATATTTTCTACAAATAGATAGTTAATGGACTGCTTTGCAGAATCATTGAACATTTAGTGGCTACTGTATGCCGGGTTCTGTGTTGCCCAAGAAGCTTGCTCCAGTGGGAAGAGATGTGTGTAGATTCACCTGTCAGATGCAGTGGTAAGTTTTAGGTAGCCATCAGCCCATCGGTAGACATGAGTTGTCTTGGGAAAGTGTGTGTATAATTGCTAGGTAGGTTAATAGAATCAACAAAATCAAGATCCAAGTTAGAGTCCAGGCCTTGTCACTTACAGCTTTGGTCCCTTATGGTTTTTGTCCCTTCTTTCTAACTTCAGAAAAAGAAGCAAAAAAAGTTGAAGGATTTGATACCGTTCAGAAGCCAAGTTATTATATTAGGCTGGGATCTTTGTCTACCAAGCTCCGCTCACGTGCCTACCAGCAGGCTCTTAGCAGGGTGAAAGAAACTAAGCAAAAGAGCCAAGAGACCATTTCTCAGCTCCATTCCACTGTTAACCTGGTGAGTATAAGTTCATTTAAAGGTATTTGGTGTGAGATCATTAATCCCAAGGGGTGAAAGTAAATGTGATCATGAGGTCCAAGAATTTTTAATTTTAATTTATGAACAACCCAATAGAAAAATGGGTGAAGAGTAAACAGACAACTCACAGAAAAGGAAGTATAAGTAGCTGAAATATATGAAGTGTTGTTAATCTTACTCTGAGGTGTCAAATTATAGGTTCCTCTCTCTTCCTTACACAGTGGCAAAAGTGTGATGCTGTGGGCAGTGGTATAGAGGAAGAGGTGTACTTGTGTACTTCTGGAGGATTTGAGGGGTGGTAATTTTCTGCTAAGAAAGTTACAAACACACCTATTCCTCGGCACTTTCACTTTCAGAAACTTGTTCCACAGATACTTATGTTTGTTTAGAGTTGCAGAAGACTATAAACAATGCATGCCAGCTAATAGGGAACTAATTGAATTGATAGATCACAAAAGACTATTGTGTAGGCTTTAAAGATTGCCAAGTTACAGAAGAGTATGTATTGTACAGCCATTCTTGGAAGGGAAAATGCACAACTGACCACAGGGAACAGGAAGTTTGAATTTCTTTCTTGTAATTTTTTCTTATATTTTACACTGTGGAAAACTGGAGGTAAATTTGTAGACAGTGGTTTATGATTAAATAGAGGCAAGAAAGAACTATGGTTACTTGATAATAAGTAACAGTGTTGGCAGGGATTGCTTTCCTTCAACTCTTACAGATATTCTTGGTTTTTAGGTTGTGTGATTTTCACCATAGGTTTGAGAACAGGCTGGCACAAATGTCTGACTAGTTCCTTCGTTTTATTTCAATGTGCTCTAGATTGAATTTGCCAGGGAGAATGTGCATAGTGCCAACCAGAAAATTCAGGGTGCTCAGGACAAGCTCTACCTGTCCTGGTTGGAGTGGAAGAGAAGCATTGGCTATGATGACACCGATGAATCCCACTGCGCTGAGGTAAGACAATTGGGACGCACTCGTCCACGACAGTTCCTGAAGAGGTCCTACCAGGCTTTTATTTCAGTGTTGCCATAGTTCCTCTTAGAATACTGTTCTTCAGCAAAAGTTTGAACACAAAAGCAAAGTTATGTGGCAGAAAAGCCAAATGGTACAGTAACTTTAACAACCTACAGATATGCATATTGCCCCTAAGGTATACAGCTAAATGAGAAACGTGGGCCTGGCCCTCAGTATAGACTAACAGGGCATATAAACATTTTTACTGTCATGGTATTTTTTAACAGCATAAAACAGGGGCTCTGAGACTATATAGGAAAAGTACCTAACTTAGTCTTGGAGTGAGGATGGGTGAGTCAGATGACTTCCTGGAAGAGGTGTGTTAAGCTGGAACTGAATGAGAAAATAAACTAGGTGAAAGGGTAGTAAGGGGACTAATGTTCCAGACAGAAGAAATAGTGTGTTGTAGTCCTCAAAAGTGGTTCTTTAGGTTCCAGAAGCTAGTACGCATATCTGTGAAATGTAAATAAAAATATTGCTGCTGCACTCAGGATTGTTATGAGAATTTTAAAAAGTTGAAGAATCTGCATATGTGGTGGACACATAACTAGCATACTGTAAATGAACTAATTCATACATAGCATTGTTAGGTTCATGGCTAATTTTAAATTTGTTTTATTTTTAGCATATTGAGTCACGTACTCTTGCTATTGCCCGAAACCTGACTCAGCAGCTGCAGACCACGTGCTCCACTCTCCGGTCTAACATCCAAGGGTTACCGCAAAACATCCAAGATCAGGCCAGTCACTTGGGGTTGATGGCTGGAGACATCTACTCAGTGTTCCGCAATGCTGCTTCCTTTAAAGAAGTGTCTGATGGCTTCCTCACATCTAGCAAGGGACAGCTGCAGAAAATGAAAGAGTCTTTAGATGATGTGATGGATTATCTTGTTAACAACACACCCCTCAACTGGCTGGTAGGTCCCTTTTATCCTCAGATAACCGAGTCTCAGAAAACTCAGGACTGAGGTGCAGAGAAGGACACAACCAGCCAGGAGGCCCAGCAGCCTGAGCACAAAACACATTAATCCTGTCCCTATCACTAGTGCATGGTGCAGCCAGCCAGATGACACCTTTTGTTATATTGAAAATAACCTGCTAGACAACTCTGAACTGGGGGAAACAGCTAGCTAGAAAAAGATCCCTTCATTACAGTCATTTCCAACTGGATTAAGATCTTTAGAGTTTCTGGCATTAGCAGATAAGTTATTTTGCTTACGTGGCTGGTAAGAAAATAATGATAAACTGGTCAGGGGTCACCAAAAATCACATTGCATTTATGGTCTCTTTCTGCTGCCACTGTTGCTGTTTGTTTGCATTGAATAAAAACACCTTCATGTCGGCTGTCATGTGAACTGGATCTGCTCCAGTTTGGTCTGAGCAGGCCTCATCACTGGTTTGTCACACAATGCATGTTTATACAACTTCAGGGGTTTTTGTTATGTTTTCATAAAGGAACACACCCTGTGAGTTCAATAAAATTCACTACAGAATAGATCAGTTTTATGCTATGTGTTCCAGTGCTTCTGCGTTGCTTTCATTGAGCTGCTTGGCCGGTGTGACAGGGTTCTTAATACACATGCATAAATTCCAATTGGGCCGTTAGAGGGAATTTGGCAGTATAGTAACATTGGAAGACTAATGTCAAAAATGGAATGTGCGATGACAGGTTTTAAACAAGTGAAAACGTAATGTGCATATAAGAATTTTACTGGGTGACATTTGCCTTTATCTGCGCATTTAGTGGGCCCCTTGAGAGGGTTTTTAAGCCAGTAGAAGGACCTCCTCATGACTGATTGCCTTGCTGAAAAGCAACCAAAGTGAAAATAGGCAAGTGAGTGACTATTTGCATCAGTTTCACATAAAGGCATTTCTCACCCAGGGGCCACTTAAACTGTGAGGCCTGGAGTGAGATTGTTCAGTGTCCAGTTTCAGCTGGACTCTGTTGTCACTAACTTTCCAGAAAGTCACTAAGAGTTGTTAGTGGGAATCAGGAGTGTCCAACCTTTTGGCATCTCTGGGTCACACTGGAAGAAGAAGAGTTATCTTGGGCCGCACAATAAGTACATTACAACATGTAATCACAAAAACTCATATTTTAAGTAAATTTACGATTTTCTGGTGGGTTGCGTTCACAGCCATCCTGGGCTGCATGTGGCCTGTGGGCCACAGGTTGGACACCCCTTAGAAGATCACGTGAGAATAATCAGCAGTTAAAAGACTTTGGACCCCCTGTAGAAAAGGGTTCAACTTAACCTCCTGTCCAGGATGTTTAGACTTTTAGCCCCTTCAATGCTGATCAGCTACTTAGGAAATATAAATCTACTTATAAAAAAGCTGCAGGATGCCAGATGTTTCCAAAAAGTCATAGAATTTGTGAGCTAGGCCTACATGCCCCTGCCTGTCCTTACTAAAAGGTTAGCAAGACTGCCCTTCAGAGCCAAAGTCGAAATTTTAATGTCTCCTCTTTCTGCCCTGGTTTGCCTCTTCCCATGAAAACAAGGAGGCAGCACATAACGTTACATGCACTGGTGTGAATGAGGCTATCAAAACTCAGTTATAGGGCTAAATTTTCTCCCCTTGAGAAATCAGTAACAGGAATCAGTAAACAGGTGAATTGAATTGAAGGGATTGAGATTCTTGAAGCTAAGAAGCTTCTGGTTTGGTGAAGATGGGACTGTCATGGTATATGGGCTTTAGGAATAGAGCTTATCCATTCACTTGTCCGCCTGCCTGCCCCCAGTGACTGGCATTTTCTATAGCCTCTAAGTTTTATTTAGTTTAAATTGAATATGACCTTGCCCCTCTTTGCCTCAGAACTCCAAGGCTGGCATTTTGTCTTTTATTCAAAGTGGTTGAGAAATTCATATACTATTGCTTTCTTACTTGAATATAAACTTGCATTTTCCTGTCATAAGAGTTATAGTGCCAACTGAATTGCTTGTGAAAAAGAGACATGTCAAAGGCATTCTATGTAAGCGAGACAGTATGAAGGAGACCTCTTAACTTCTAGAACACTACCAGCCCTTGCTTTTTGCCATGAGCTATGCACTCTTGTGGTTTTGTCTTTGTGTCTCAAGTTTGTGCCTCAGGCCATTTCATTCTGTTGTCAACATGTTTCAAAATTTGCAGTGTTCTTGTGTCTTAAACTTTATTGTATAAACTGGCAGTTTTGGTCTAACAAACTTTTCCCCTAGGAGGGCAATTCTTTTGAGGAAAAAACCTAGGCCTAGCACAGTAACTATGGCAGGTTTTTAAACATTTAGCAGCATGAAGCTGGTCATGGTGTTCCTGAACGTTCAAGGATGTATTTCCTTTGCATGTAATAATAATATTGGCTTTATGGTTTATTCTGGGTGAAAAAAAAATCAAAGAGATGTGATGTACTAGCTATTAATATCTTGACCTTAGTTTTCCACCTGTCATAAAATTAGTGATCCCTCAACAGATAGAAGTGAAGTGTCTGAGGATGGGCTGTCTTTTTCTCATTTTGCATGAGAGACAAGGGGACACCATCTATGGGACAGTGACATGTAGTGTCTTTAATTTGTTAGTTCAGGTGTGAGTATATACTATAAGGTCATGATTACTAAAATATTTTTACTTTGTTAAGGCATTATAGGTATAGAAAAACAAAAAATTAAAAGGGAAAAAACTAAAATTTGGTTTGCCTGAGATACCTTTTTTAGATATCATTTAGCTCATGGAGGTGGTAGTGAGGGAAGGACGAACAAGGAGCAGGACAGATATTTGTGCATATATCTGTCAGCTGTGGGGGGATGGAAAGGAGGGCCTCTTGCCAGCCTGACCTTCCTGGGTTCTCGTGGACTTGGGACTGGGTCAGCTAGGCCTTGTCCTCTTTCAGTTTCAGGAGTGACCCAGCACTGAGGCCTGCATGGGTGTTGGTCTTGTGAGATGTCCCTCTTCTGTAGGCCAAAGTATTTGTAGCTTGTATCTTAAAGGGCAATACCTTTATGCTATAGGTGTTCACTTTACCAACAGTTATCCTATATTTCCACAGTAACCATTTGGTTAAGATGTTTGTTAAGAAACATCTTAAGTTTCGAGTCTGACCTGTAGCAGCTTACTTCATTTGAATGGTGGAGACACTGGAAAGATAATAGCATCAAACTGTTCAAAAAGAAGAATAAGAAGTCTCTTCAGGCTTATGGTCAGTTTAAGCCAAAGACACGTTTTATGGTGTCTTCCCTATTCTCCGTGCTCACCTTTTGAGATTCTGATGCCACTGTCCCATGTGTTAGAAATTGCTGATTCCTGGGAGAAATGGTGTCAACTGGATCCTCACTAGGATAGTCCCAGGTCATATTTCTGGGGCTGGTGAGGAGTCAAGCCCTCTTGGTCACCATCCGGCTGAGGCTGAGCTCAACTGAGAGGCAGGGGCAGGGTACTCAGGTGGAAAAGGCTGAAAAGGAAAGTCATACCCTCAATTGGTGCTGACGTGGTAAAAGCGGGCAGGTTACTGAGTTTGACTGTGAGATTGCTGAATAATACATCTTTAGTTAAGATTGTCATTAAGATGACTAAGCGAAACGAGAGGAAGGCAGTGTGAAAGGCAGTTGTTTGGAGGAGGTGGAACAGTTGGCTGGGATTCTTTCATGCTTAATTTGCTTCCACTGGGCATATAGATTAGAGAGAAATGGATTATAATATAATGAAAGGCTGTGCATCTCACAGGGGAGACTAGTCTTGATATAGAATGGACCTTCTAAGTTATCTACCTTGGTACTGGCTTTATGAAAGTGCTCTTTGAGAGAGCCATATAAAAGATATTAAAGCCATGTCATAATATGTACATTTTGAGCTAACATGACAACATCTATTAATAGTTGTTGCACTTACTGCTTAGTGACAATGTGAATATGTAGGTAGTTACATTATTATATGTACCTGCATTAAAAAGGATTCGATTCAGTACTTGAGTTCCTAATAGTATAAGGCATGAACTCTGCCTTGCTGAGAATGTAAACACCACAAACTGTCCTCAAGAGACTTATGAAAGGCTTAGGGTAAGCTCGTTGATGAATATTCAAGTAATATCCTGGTATAGCACTATGTGTCCTTCACTTTTAATGGTCCCAAGTTGCTAATTTTTAAATTTCCTACCTTTATTACAAAATTAACCTGTAAAATATGACATCTCAGCATAAGGCTGTACAGAGCAACAATTTGAGTTTTAAGTTTTATTGACCGAAGTGAAAGAGAACACTAACTTAAATCTCCTCTTAAGAAAGTAATAAAGAGTGTTATTAATTAACATTTTACAAAAGTAATGAACAGATTAAATGGTACTTTTGTGTAAATGTCAGTGATGAAAAATGGTTACCATTTAAATTGTTTTGTTTTGTCTTGGATATATACTTGGGAGTGGAATTGCTCATGGGTTATAAGGTCACTCTATGTTTATTTGAGGAACTGCCAGACTGTTTTCCAAAGTGGCTGCAGCATTTATATTCCCACCAGCAGGGTATGAAGGTTCTGATTTCTCTGCATCTTCACCAACACTTGTTATTTAACTTTGTGATTCTAGCTAACCACTTAAATTATAAATGAATAAGAGTTGATGTCGCATACTGTGAATTAAGGACTTTTTCTTTTTCATTGTCTACTCTATGGAGATTAAAGGAAAACTCAGCTAAGGAGGTAGCTAATATATTTAGCAGATTGATTCCCTTATATAAAGTGGCCCGAGTGAACTCTTAGTGTGGATAAAACCACATCATCTTCTCCTGCCTTTCCTGTCTATGCCAGGAATTAACTGGGAGGACTGATAAAATGCAGATTCCTGGGTTCCACCACCAGAGAATCTGGTTAGTAGGTTTGGAGGTAGTACCAGGTATCTGCACTTTTAAAAAGCAACACCTCCCCTTCTCCACCGCCTGCCAAAGAAAAAAATCATCCCTAGTGATTCTACTGCAGGTGAACCACTATCCACACTTTGGGAAGCAAAAGAAATAGGAAACAAATGATATTAGCTTGAGACAAAAATAGGGATAAGGTTACATGTAGTCCCTTCTCTCCAAACAAGATCTTCAGTGTGGGCTCCCTAAATGTTGTATTTTAAAAAGACCTACTATTGATGTATCTGCTTAAATATCAAATACAAAGGAATTAGCATTGACTAGTTGAATGTTGTGCAGTGGGTACCAAGAATCACTTTGATTTTGTTGCAGTAAGTCCCAACCTGTTCCCTAGGCTGAGTTCTAACCAATTCCACTGATTCTCCTAAGCCAAGGACAAAATACTGGTACAAGAGGGTGTTCCTGCTACAGGGTACAGGTGTGTCCCCACTCAAGCTCTATCAAATTGTTCAAGTAGAGGGTAAAGAGAGAGTACAGCAGAACCTAGATGGTACCGCCCCTGTAACTTGCAAGTGCATAATCAAGCTGAATATGCAAACTATTTTGGATGGGAAGAGATTTCTGTTAAACCCTCAACAGAGTTGGGCTTATGTGTTTAGTATTAGAGGTAATCA